AATAATAACAATAACAATATTAGTAATAACATTGATAATAATAGTAATAATGATAACACAAGGAAGGAGAAAAAGAGACAGCAATAACAACAAGAATGATAATAATGACATGGTAATATTGATAATAATAATAATAGTGATAACAACAATAAGAACAACAATTATAATTATAATAATGATACTGATAATGAAACAAAAATGATAACGATAATCACAGTAATAACAATAACATTCATAATAATTATAATGATGATAAAAGTAATAACAACAGTGATAATAACAATGATAACAACCATAATAACAACAATAACAATAACGATTGTAAAAACAACAATAATAATTCTCATAAGAATGATAACAATAAAGGTAATAGTAAGCATAACAAGAAAGATCACCTGTTATATAACAAGAGAAATGATAACAAAGTAATATTCTCTACTATTACTAATACTAGAAACAATTAAGATAATATAACTCATGAAATAGAGTCACATTTTAATCGAAATGGATTTAGCGAATTAGCCCACCTGACGATCGCTTAAAAACAGCTGTTAATATTTTTTTTGAGAAATTGTGGCCATTTTTGAGAAACATTTTTGTGGCCATTTTTTTTGAGAAATTGTGGCCATTTTTGAGAAATTGTGGCCATTTTTGAGAAATTGTGGCCATTTTTGAGAAATTGTGGCCATTTTTGAGAAATTGTGGCCATTTTCACGCTAAAATTTGAAAATTTTGTCTCTGGGTTTAATGTATTTCGGTTTTATCTTCTTGGGATATTAATATTACTATTGTTATTTTTATCATTATTATTATTATTGTTATTATTATTATTATTCATTATTATTTTTATCATTATCATTATATTATCATATCATTATTATTATCATTATCATTATTATTATCATTATCATTATTATTATCACTATTATCATAATTACTATTATTACTATTATTGTTGTTGTTGTTGTATTACTAAATACCGCTTATACAATATTTTTAGTGAAATGATGTCGCACACATATTTACTTTTTGAAAATGAAGAAAAAGAAAGAAAAAGACGATAAATTACTATTAGTGAATAAAAAAAAAAAAAAAAAAATCGGTTTATCACAAATTTGAAAGGTAAAAATCTTATTGTATTATTACTTGTAAGAAATAGATCTATCATGAATTTATTATTATTGTTAGAATATGTGAGTAAATCGATAGATATAACCTTTGAATGTAGTAAGAAATTTATAGCAATGCATGTATTGTTATAGATCTATCATTAAAAAACGAAAATAATGTCGGCTATATGTAGATATTTTCTACCGTTTGATTACATATATATATATATATATATATATATATATATATATATATATATATATATATATATATATATATATATATATATATATATATATATTAATTTATGTATATATACATCTAACTCTTAATTCATTGTAATGTTTTATCTGAGACATGGTATGCTGTCATAGAAAACGGTAAAAAAAAGAGTGGGAAACGGGAATTTAAGGGCTAACAGCACAATATCAGATAATGAAGTATTGTAAAAAAAAAAAAATGGAATCTTCCTTTCCTCTCTCCCTCCCTCCCTCTTTCTCTCTCTTCCTCTCCCTTCTCCCTCCCTCCTTCTCTCTCTCTCTCCCTCCTTTCTCTCTCTCTCTCTCCCTCCATCCCTCTTTCTCTCTCTTCCTCTCCCCCTTCTCCCTCCCTCCTTCTCTCTATATATATCTCTCCCTCCTTCTTCCTCTCCCCTTCTCCCTCCCTTCTTCTCTCTATATATATCTCTCCCTCCTTCTCTCTCTCTCTCTCCCCCCATCCCTCTCTCTCTCTCTTCCTCCTCCCTCCCTCTTCCTCCTACCCCCCTCAGTATCCCTCAGAACAATGGCGGTTAAACAAAATATCAATTTAAAAATGTGATAACAATGAGTCTGAAACACGTGATATATTTCTTATCTTGAAATTATGCTTCATTTTTAATCATATCAGCGTTTGCGGCCGTTGCAATAGATTATACGTTATTCTGAAACTGTAAACAAGATGACAAAAATATCTAAAATGAAAAAATAAAAAGTGCGCTCGTCGTTCGTCAAGCAGTGTTGCCAGATAAGGCGCATGTAAAAACAATAACACGATTTAGATTATAATATTTCTCTGCATGACATTAGAATATATATAAATAGATATATTCTTAAAAATATTTCATAATGAGGTTAATCATAATACTGAATGCAATGATAAGTGTGATAAAAATGGTGGTGATGATGATGATAACAATAATGATAATGATAATAATAATGATGATGATAATGATGATGATGATAATAATATAATAATAATAATAATAATAATAATAATGATAATGATAATAATAATAATAATGATGATAATAATGATGATGATAACGATGATGATGATAAGATAATAAGATATAATAATAATAATAATAATAATAATAATAATAATGATAATAATAATAATGATGATAACG